GATTCATTAACTTCAGTGAGAGCAATCAGGTCACAATAGAGGGCGTGGGCCCTGGGTGGGGTAGAATGAGGCGGGGGAAGTACTGTGCAGGGAAGGAGAACAGGAAAAGACCCTCCTTTTTAGCACAGGGTCTTTGTTCAGAGGTTAAAACGGTTCTCTTTATTACTCAACAATTCTAATATATTTATGCTTCTAGATGTGACTTGAAATTCTTATGTAGATTTTAGGCTTACTGAAAGAAGTACCCTGAGGTACTCATCCTTTCTCTTACTTCTAAATAAATAAGTAAACAAACAAACAAACAAATAAATAAGAAGCCCATCCCCCTGCAAACTGTGATCTCTCTGGTGTGTGTGTGTGTGTGTGTGTGTGTGTGTGTGTGTGTGTGTGTGTGTGTGTGTGTGTGTGTGTGTGTGTGTGTGTGTGTGTGTGTGGTTCCATAAACCTTCAAATGGGAAAGAAAAGCATAACCACCTACTCTTGGACTCAAACATAGAGCACAAATGGAAGAAATGCATTTATTTGTTTAAAAAAAAGGAAAAGAAAAAACAACTAAGAATCACCTGGACAACACGATTTATTACCGTCACATACAATACGGTCCAAGGCACTTACATGATATACAAGGTTGTGTTGGACTCCTGGAAGAGACCAAATGGCTCCTTTTGTTCTCATCTTAGATGTGTTCATCTGTGTAATTTTAAGTTTTCTACTAACACATACATGAAAGTCTCTGAGATTTACAGGGGTTAGTTGCTCCTGGGTTGCTCAAATAACTATATTTAAGCCTTTGTCTGGATATACAGAGAAAAACGTTGTTTGCTTGGAAATACCTCACACTTGGCATTGATGTCCCATGTAAGTCAATGGATTGTAGGGGACTTCACAACCACTGGTTTGCAAAATGGATAAAAAACAAACCAAAAACAAAACAACAATATGACAACAAAGAACCCACCAGCTCCTACTAGAAAGAGAAGGAATTATCTTCCTGGTGTGTTCCACCTTTTCCTTCCCATAACAAAGCCATGGAGAACCAATGGGCACCTCTACTGCTCTTTTATGGGTAGAGAAATTACCTTTGACTCTGAGACTTACACTTATGATGTTGAATAAGTCCTCCGCAGAGTGAGTTCTGTCATGTGTTCTCATGACTCATGCTACCTAAAAACCATTTCAGGGTCAATTTTAGTGAAGACAATTTTCCAGGAGTTTGGGAATGTCTTCCACACCCTTAACAAACTTTGTGTTGAAAATAAACTGCTGAGAGAAATATCACCAGATATCTTTAAACGAGAACTCTGGAAGCGAGGGACATAAAGCAACTGCGGAACTTTCATGATCCCTCCCTCCCCTACTTAATAAAGGCACCTATATTTCACCAGAAATAAAATTTTATTAGTAACATGTCAAATATGTTTTAAAATACAGTCACCTTTCTTCTTCCTCTCAGTTTAAAAAACAATCTGATAAAACCTCTAAATCAGGAACCAAATATTTTTAAATGTTAAAAAGACATATTTTAGATTATGTAACAGATACACATTTTCCCAAATAAATGTTGTAGCACACCATCTGCTTGATATCTGAGTGCATTTTCACAGAACTAAATTGCTGCTTTTCTCCCTTCGTTAATTGTTTATGACAAATTTATGACACTCTATTTCACAATAGCTATACCAACAATTTATGACCAAAGGAGAGGCTGACAAAAATCACGTGGCATGCTCAAATTAGACAATTTCTGCAACGTTCTCATTTACACCAATCCTCCACCCTTTACTCGGATGGTGACAACTAAAGGGAAACGGAATGTCCATAGCAAGGGGTGGGTCTCTCAGGGAATAAAGCTCAAGAAAGAGTTCAAGACAAGAAGTTACAGATCCAGGTGCCATTGTTCAGCTCAGGTTTACCAACTTCTTCAGCCCATGCAGCCACCCCTAAGTCGGAATTTAATGTAGAATGTTTTTATAAGATTTTCTCAGATTTGGCCAAGAAAAAAAATTGCCAACTTCTTGTTAAGTGTGAACAAAATTTTGTGTATGCTCAAATGTTACAAAATGGTACTCCCTTGTCTGGGTATAATCAAGGGGGAAAAATCAAGAAGATAAACTTACCATGTGTCATTTCCTGATAAGAATGGTACACAACATCCGCATTCCTTTTTTGCACTTGATGCTGACAAAATTTATAAAAGAAATCATTTTCTATGTTTTGCTATACAAAATATTATAATATTTGTGACCAATTTGGAAAACCAGTTTACAATATTTGCTTTTCACCTTGCATGTCTTCAAAGAAAAAAACGTCTATGGAACAGACATGAATACATATTCTTTGAAAGTAATGATATAGGCTTGAGTGTATATTTTGATTCTCAAAGTGATGTAGAGCCTCACTCCTCTAAGTATGGTCAGTCGACCAGCAACACCCACATCATCAAAAAGGCTTCAGAAATGCAGATTCTCAGGCCCCACCCCAGACCTATTGAAAGGAATCTGTATTTTAACAAGATCTCCGGTGACTTATATGCACAAGAAGATTTGAGAAGTGCCAATGTAGAGGAATGTTTTCTTATCCACCTAACTATAAATAATCCTTGGAAACAGACAGAAATACTTTAATGGGGAAATTTTATCCAAAATGTTCAATCATGAATGAAGCAACAACTTTTGGACATGACCCACTTACAAAGAAACAAAGAACCTGAAACGTATCACATGCTGATGTACAGTAATGAAGTTTGAGAACAGGAAAATGTAATTTAAAATGCCATATATTACATAAATATTCATAAACTGCTTGAATTAATTATACACAATCTTCTATTGTTTCCAACCTAAAGTATTTTCTTTAGCAGAACATATACAATGATAACTAATACATTGAACCCTAGAAACATGAAGATTACCTTAATAGGCAATTGTTTAATGACTAAGAGCAATATTTTTAAAAAGTGTTGTATCAAGAATCTGATGAATTGCAGTTTGATACACTCTGGAAACCCTTTCCCAAAGAAGTTCAACCAGTACTACAAATTGTTGCTTTTTTCACTGATCTTTGGGTAAATCAGTATCGATGTTGGGGGTAAGGGAGAGGATGAAGAATTAGAACCACAACCTCCACTTCCAGTGGACTGCAAAGACTGGATGTTTGGCTGTGATTCAGAGAGGAAACCAGTGATAGAGGAGGGATGCCCCAGGAGCTGGTGTTAAGATATCCCAAGGTACATTAAAGCAGTCACCAGCACAGAGCAAATTTTAAAAACGCTGCCCTTTTAACCTTGAACACACTATATACAATTCTCAGGCTGTGATTTCCCAGTTCTGCTTCTCTGTCAACTCTCCTTGACATTAATATTAACCTGATTTCCCCTGTAAAAGAACATGAAAGCTACAGAGGTCAGGGGAGAAGGAATTGGTCTGTATTTGCATTTGTCTCCCCACCTCTCCTATGACCTCTTGTGCCCCAGAGATGAGCTAAGGTCAGCCATGCTTCCCCTCTTCAACAGTAGTTTTTCTATCATCCTTCCAAGTATAAAATATGCTGCAAAGCAGACTGTGCACTCCTTCTGCTCTGAGACCTGTGTCAGCAGACCCTCCCTTCTCCCTGTGTGTCCTCTTAGCCACAAATGCCTTTGGAGAGAGATGTTTAACAACCATCCCATAGTTTGGAAAAGAGAAATGCAGGTACAACTCCCAATAAAGAGTTTTTACCTTTTAAGCCAAAACCATACATCTCCGAGTCCCTTCTTCATCAGTGAACTGCTTAAGCAAAGAGACTATGCATCACTCATTATGTATCTCCAGCCCTGGCACAGTGCCTGGTTCATAGTAGTTGCTCAATAAATGGTGGGAAATGGCACTATTTCCAAGTCTTCTAGTACTGAATTTATTCAATCTAAGGATGTACATTGAAATCTTATCATGTGTTTGAGCTCATCCATCTAGACATGGGTGGGCTTGCCATTTACTCTTCCCCCAACATAATTAATTTCTAATTTTCCTTTTCTCATCTAACCAGGAGCTCAGTTTTAGGGATATTTCATAATAATACCACATTTCCAATAATGCATACACTGAATAGAATCTAATATGATACATCATTGGCAAATGAAAGAAACAATCAATACATTGAGGACATCAGGTTCTAGAAGTACAGCAGGTATAGGAAAGCAAAATTGAGTATAGCAAGCAAGCTACACCACACACACACACACACACACACGCACACACACACACATGCACATGCACACACACACACACACACACACACACTAACTTTCTCTTTCACTTACCCTGTTTCTTATTTCTCTGCCCTTTTTTATTTTCTTCCTCATCTCTTCATTTTTCCTCTTCTCTCTTTTTAAAATTTTCTTCTTCCTTACTAGGTCTTCAGGCACCCACAAGAGTGATCAACATCACTAAAGGCACTCAGATTTCCCATCCTATCTTTCTTACTCTAAGGGTGGCTCTTGTCACCACAGAAAGGATGTCCAGGATCACAAACATTGTAACTGGTCTCCCATATTCTGGCTCTCACATAATAGAGCATGTAGGATTGGTCAGCAGAGCAGGCCTAAGTGTCTTCCTATACATCAGATTGCGGTGGTAAAATGACAGAAATCTTATTGGTTAACTCAGACAAGTTACATAGTTTAAATACAAATTATTGTTTTTCTAAAAGTCAAGATAACATTTGTCAACTCCTTATCTATGAATTGTTTATTGGAAGAGAAATTAGATGTTCTAAAAGATATTTTTTAAATAACGTGTTTTGAAATCAACACATTTTTTAAAGCTTATTCACAAATACTGCTGGTTTCTAAGACAGTTTTTCTCTACATACGAATGTATAGATCAGAGACTTGGGTTAACAAAGTCACCGAACAAAACAAACTTTATGTCTTTTACTGGTTCATTGCCCAAGAGTTCTTGCTTTGTTTAAGATTTCTGATATACAATAAATATTACAATTTCACACTTTCTTGGTTATTTTTGCACTCCCTCTCTTTTCTATTCCAAAGTATTTGCATTTCTCTCCTCAAGCAATTTTAATATGTGACATTTTTTAACTTACTTCTGTTAGCACTGGTGTGTTTTTCTTATGGACACTGTCCTAAACCAAGCCAAATGTTCTTCTCAGTAAAGAATTTTAAACTATTAGAAAGCTAATTCTATTTTTTAGTTATACGATAATATAATTATCCTATCATATTTGGAATATATTCAATTAATATCCCCATTGCTTAAGAAATCGACATTTTAAAAGAAGCATTTTGAGAAATAAGATATTTTATAAGCAGTAAAATAAAGTTTTTCAACTTTGGTGCCAAATTTTTGCCCTTGACTTAATTTTTAAATATTTATATTTGTATTTCAAAGCTATCTCACCATTCATACTAAACTGCCTTTACAAATTAGCCTCAATTATAATTTTTTAGTTTGTTCTAAAGCATTTTTTCCTAATTTTGATTGAGCAATTAAATATAAACCTGATACTTTTATCAATTATATATCTATGTGGTCTTCAACAATGCATGCTAATTAGAGTACTAACATTCTTTATACTCAAAGCATCCATGTTAATCACCCCTATGATTCATTAGAGGGAGCAAGTAGTGAATCAAAACTAAAAACAAAATTCTCTTGACGAGAAAAAGGCCTTCTTGGTTACAAGATGGCTTCCAACTAGGAAAGAGACAATGTTGACAAATCACCATATTTAAATTGGCCAAAACACGTGATCACTAAAGTCTCATAATGTCTCTGTTTAAAGCAGTGTCCTTGATTATCATTATCATGTATAAAGTGCTCTGAAAGCACATTAGTAAGAAAATCATTCCAAAACCTTTTAACAATGCTCTCCTATGTCCTGTGCCATCCTTGTTTTAGATTCCTATCTTCATTGTCATAGTCTCTCTAACACTCATCTTTGGGTCTTTGGTGTTTTCTTGAATATACCTTTGGCACCTAGTTTTCCCAATCTGTTTTATCAGTTAGTGACAAGATATACTTCATGGGACATAACTCCAGACATTGAAATCAAACATCTCACTCAAAACTCAAAGAACATTATGAACCACTTCGAACAATTTCAGGAATCTATTCAACTTGTTAAATAATTATCTTTCAAGTTGCAAAATATAGGGACTTATCTCTAAACGTCACCTTCACAGGCATTCTGAAACATTTTGTCAAATAGTGAATGGTCGACTATTATACAAAAATCAGTGCAAAGTTTCATCCAGGCAGCCTTAAATGCACTCTTAGATGAAGAAATAACATCATGTAGAATTTCTGTCATTCTCGCCAATTTTTGCAGATAAGATTTTTTTAAATTATCAACTTATTAAAAACAAATTTTACCTGCTTACCCTTTTCCTGAGCTTCACAGCCTATAAAAATGACATCATAAATAAAATTTAAACTCTTAACTAAAGGCCCACCACAAATTTTAACCACCCTTAGAACTTAGAGATAAGCCCATCCACAAGGCTATTTTATTAAATTTCACTTTTAAAGAGAAGATCAAGCGGGAAAAAAAAAAAAAGTAAGATGGATCAGTTTGGAGTAGTCTGGTTGTTACATTCAGCAGTTAAGTTACAGCTTATTTGCCCCATCTTGAATTGCCACTAATGGTAAAAGGAGAATGGTGTCAAATAATTATTTGGCACAATGCTTGACGAGCCAAAGCTTTTCAGAAAGAACCTATTCCTCTCCTCCTCATTTACGGAAAATTACCGTAAATTTGTTCCACCCTCAGTCCTCAGGGACAAGATTTTATGGGTTTAATCTGTTACTTTTTGTTACTTTCCACTATAAGTGGCAGAATTTGGAAATAGTGGGCTTGAAATGTTTAAATCTGTGTAAGATATTGATGTAGGTCTCTTCCAACATACCTTATCTTTAAAAAAATTTTATTTATTTATTTTTTGCTTCTAAAGCACTTACTTGCCACTTTATAATATGTGGACACATATCCAATTTGACTTGATAATACAAAGGACTGCTGAGTAATAACCAGAGTTCTCTCCAATCAGTTCAGCATGCATCTCATCTTTGATCTCAAGTGCACTGGTAAAGAGTGCCTTATGTTAACATCTTCACTATAAACAGTTCAGGCATTTTAGAAACAAAGTATCAATGAACTTAACAGTTACTTTAATTCATTTTATAAATAAGCAACTGAGAATTTTGCTCCAAGTGGCTGCTAGTGTAGCCCATTCCATAAATGGCATTCTCCGAAGCATAAGGCACAATATGATACGAATGCAGCTCTTCATAATAGAGAGACTGAGAACAGCATTCCTGTACCATAAACTTCAGCCGTTTTCTTGTATCAGAATAAGCAGTCTTATAACAGGGAGCTTCTTTAAAGTATTCATAGCTCTCTTTCTCCGTCTCTAGGTGGATCTTCCTCAGCAAATTGTTAATTAACACAGACCTTCTCAAGTAGGTTTCTGGGTCTTCAAGAAACCTGAGCTTCTCCAGGGACAGTTTGAGAATACAAGTCCTGTCCTCGGGTAATATCAGGTGCTGGAAAGCAAACACATCGTTAAAGCTACTTTCTGGACAAATGAAAACCAGAGTGGTTTGCTATGGACAAGACACATAAAAATGAAAGAATAATAACAAGAAACCCTTACTTTTGGAAAATACCCATGGTAATCCTGATGTAAATCTTCTTCTTCTGCATATTTTCTCTTAAAGTAGGCTACTTTCGACGTTGTTAATGGATATGTTAATACTTTTGTCGGATAAGCTGAACAAAATAAAATATTGGAGAAAAGTCAGATTTTGTGGCAAAGAGTGTTTTATAATATAAGTTCTACTTGTAAAAATAAACTGGTGACTCCAGAAATTAATATTCTTTCTTCATTTACTAAGCAACATGGTGAAGTAGTCAGTGGCATTTGTCCTGGACTGAAGAGCTTGTTTGCAGGCAAATGCCATTCAGATATAAAATAGATGTTCTAGGTTGCAGAATTATATTTATTTCCTTATGCACTCCCTAAGAAATAAAAGTTACCAATTCTCTATTCAATTTCATGTCATTTAATGTCAAAACGTATCCAAATTTAATGCTGATTCACAAAATGTAATGGAAAGACATGTTATTTTTCATCATTCTTTTAAACTGCCTAATGTACAGAGGGAATTTAAAGCTGCTGGATTAATCAAATTGGTGCAAAATGATTGGTGATCCAATTACACTTTAAGGAAATAATTGTGTGTGTCTAGAGACAAACTCTATGATATGGTGATGGTATAACCATTCTTAAAACACATGGCTTAACCGAGGTTAGCCACTAGTAAATGAAAAGTTTTAAATAATACCCTGACTAGCAAACTTGAACTTGATGTAATATATGAAAGTGAAAATCTTTGTTCTCTCCTTTAAAATACTATTGCTATTGAGGATTCTGACTTGTTTAAGGAAAGACAGTGTTGTGAAAGCAGATTTTCAGAAAAGAGATGCTTTGGTTTAAAGGGAGTTCCTAGTGTGCACCCTAGATGGTGCTCGTATCACAGAAAAGAGGCAAGTTCAATCTTAAAAGCCAAAGACAAGGAGCTTCCTAGTGAAAGCATTGAATTCAGAATACAAACTGAGTCCTGTTCAGGACTCAGTCAACCTCAGAGGGCCAGACCAGAAAAATAGTCCATATTTAAACATCATCTATTTTGCCTTTAACCCACACACTCAAATATTTCCAGGTGTTGAGAATATTTTATTCACAAAATGAGTAGTTTATTAATGTGTTGGTTAAGTAAACTTAGGGTTAAGATATCTGATGTTTTTCCTCTAATATCTTCAAATCATAAATTTTTAAAATGTGCTCTTTAAGAACCTGCTTCTTCTAGTTTTTCCCCCAACTCGGTGGCACCTGTATGATGAATGCTTCCTACAGCTTTTTGTAGCTGGATGGTTTTCCCAAACCAGTAGGAAAAGCTACAAAAATCACACCTAAAGCATTCCAAATTTTCACTGTACCACTGTGGATTATAAACCCAAGAGAGCCTTCAACATGTTTTGTAAGGACAATAAAAATTGTAAACCACTCGTGTATGTCTTACTTCAGAAGACACAAATGTGTAAGGATCACTCACAGCCCATGCAAAGACAATAACTGCTACTATGTGTATACAATGTTTGAATTCAATCAACAAAACTCAGTTTATATGGAGTTTTCAAAGATTTCGAAAGGTTAGAACAAAAGGAGAATAAAATGATTGTACTGAAAACAGAGGAAGCGTCGCTGAACTCAGTATTCTCAGGGGCTGTTTTTTAGTAAACTGCATTTTCTTAGGTGTATTTTAAATGGATTTAATCAAATAATTAGGTGAAGCTTTGGGTTATTCCATGATGACAATTAATGATTGCAACTGACTTCCTTTTAAACTATTTAACTAGTTGATGCCCCAGTGGCTCTCAAATTTTAGTGAACATCAGAAGCATTGAAACACAATTTGCTCGGTCCCATCCCCAGAGTTCCTAATTCAGTAGACCTGGGGTAGGAGCAGAGAATTTATATTTGTAACAAATTTCCAGGTGATGCTGATACTGCAGGTCTGGGGATCACAGTTTTAGGCCTCAATGTTAAAGCATTAGGCAAGCTTGGGAGTAGCACTATGACAGCAAGTTGAAAAACAGAACATTCAGCTAATCAGCTGATTTCCTTATCATCAGAATGCCAAGAAATTGGCATGCTTGATTGACTTTTGTTGTTGTTGCTGTTGCAACATTGGCTACATTGGCTTAGATGCTTTAGCATCATGAACAAAGCTGGACTGCATTTTAACTAAATAGCGAAGAATGATGTCACTTTTCAACATAAATTCCTGGGCTCATATTAAGAAGTATCAATGGCTGTTTTTAGCATTACAGCTGGAGAAGTCACTGATTTTTTTAATGAAGTCCAATGAATTACAATAGTGTAGTAAAGGGTGAAGAAAGACTTGAAAATGAGAAGAATGACTTTACCATAAGCAAAACATTATTTTCATATATATGTATATTCCTGTATGTAAGTGTGTGTTCATATATATATATATATATATATATATATATACATATATATACATATATATATATCTTCTTTAGATGTTTGCTCATTTTATTTTCCAAAGCAATGCAATGTCTACAGCATTTATGACCAATTAAAAACCTTTGAATCTTTGAATGAATGATACAAGGGAGGGCAGGTGGCAGCTCAAAGAACAAAATGTCAAATAAAGCAAGTGATGCTCTGGGGAAGATAATTTTATTTAAGAGATCAAGGCCAAAAAATTATACTAAATGTCTCCAAGGTTCATAAAGATTCTGTCTGGCTGTATTCAAGAAGTCAGCCTAAGATTATAAACGTATCAGACCCTGAAAATGCAGAGAAAATTCTCAGGGGACTAGATGTGTGTCTCAGCTCCATGGGCAACACACTTAGTCACTTCGTTTATTGCTCTTAAAAAACACCCCCATGGGTTGTTGAAATGCTGCAAAGCTTTCACAGCTGGTATCAGTTTGACAATTACCTCCGTGAAGGCAGTTTAGCTATTTGCAATGTTTTCGGCATCAAATTTTGGAGGATGCATTTAGCCACTTTGAAACTAAAATATATAGCAAACATAAGTTCCTACATCTGTTTTCTTGGCTGAACCGGAACTGAAAAACTCAGACCTGGGAACTATTTATTGATCACCTGGTTGAGCCTCCAAAGTTTGTAGATGAGGACTGTGGCTTAGAGGGATTCAGTGGTTTACAGTCTGGTGTGTACTGAGAGTTTGGGTTTTGAAGTCTGAATTCCAGCTCTGCCACTTCTTATGTATGTGACCTTGAGAAAAATTACATCAACTCTTTACAAATCTCATTTGTAAAGTGGGCATAGAAATAATACTGGCTCACAGGACCACTGAAATAATTCACGGAAAATGACTGGCACTGTGCCTAGCATATAGTAAGTACTCAATAAATTCTGTTCTCATTAGTGCCAATAGGACAGACCTAACCCACAGAAACTTCCAGCCTGGCCTCCTAGCTCTGACTCTAAGACTGTTCCCACCACCCTGCTTCCCAGAGATACAGATGGTAATTAAACAGTTAAAAAACTGCAAAGAAATATTTCAAACACTCACATTTAAAAATATGGTACAGGTACTACAAAGGCTCCAAGTAGATCTCTCTGGATTTATTGCCACTGTTCATACATTTTGGGTGAAGGAAATGTAAGTTGTTTTTGAAACATCCGGACAGCCATTTGGAGAATTAGAGTTACTCCAAATATCCAAAGAAGTTAGACTGTTACGATCCAGTAAACATGTGTAAATCTATTTAAATCAGTCTCTTGCAGCTAAGAAGACAAACCTAATCCAGCCTGTTATTCAAATAGAGCTGATGAAATAGACATGAAAAAGTACAATGACTTTGTCTTCATAGTCAGTGTCCTGAACTCTGAGAACAGCGTATAAATTATAAAAGTGAATTAGCCTGAGCTTAAATTTATCTCTTAAGGTAAAATGGCTAATACTGGCTTGAATATTCAAGTTGTTTTTAATTCTATAACCTCTGGGCACATAAAATATCTGTGATAGCCTCAGTGTATGTCAAAGTGTAAAACTTCAACAAATTGAGATTCACAGAAGGACCATCCCTGTCATCAGAGCTCTGGCAGCACAATTGATACACATTTCTTTAAATACATGTTTAAAATGTAATTACAAATGATTGCTCAAATGCTCTTCCTTATTGTTCTGCTTCTGCCTCCAGACAACTGAAACCTTATTATTGTACAGGCGATTTCATTTGGTACACGGCCCAGGGGCAGTACATTAAGGAAAGATCATCAGCAAATTAATTTACAAACACTTTGAGACAATAGACAATAATAAAAGAGAACTTCTACCACAGTGATCCATTCTTTATCCAAGACTGTAAAAAGCCTGATAGCTGATGAAGCGATAAGTGTAATGCATCTTAATTTTGGTAAGGTTTTCATTCTCTTCTCCACAATGTTAATCGATACACAGCAAAACCAGTGTCGAGACCACCCTATTAGATGTGTGCATCCGCAGCCACAGACAAAAGAAGAGCCTGATCAAGGTGGAAAACAAGGTGGGTTCTAGTCTCAGATCAACAACTGACTCGGTTGTAGACAAATCACGGCCTCTGCTTCCAGTCTCTCTCACTGATTTCCTTTTATTTCATGTTAGCCTGGCATCAGCCTTAAAAAGTATGTGTCCCTACCTATCTAAATAATGCTTTGCTGGTGGCAACGCTCCCAGACATCCTTTTTTAAGGGCCATGACCAGTTTTGTTTAGAAAGCTATCCCACCTGTCACTGTTAGCCACATTCTGCCACCTTGTTGCATGGCTTAAAATACTGCCATCAGCACAACATTCTAGTGCTGACCCACAGCATAAGTTCGAATCCCAGCTCTACCATTTACATAGTGACTTTGGGCAAAGTATTTAACTTCAAAGAGCCTGAGTTTCCTCATCAATGAAATATCAAACTCATTGAGTTGTATGCAAGTTAAATGAGATGACGTTTTAAAAGCACATACTCAGTGCCTGTCGAACATACACATATTTTCTTCTCAAGAAATGTGAGGTATTGTTAGTGCAGTGATCTCATTTTTGAAATCATACATATATCCTACTCAGCAGCACTGCGATCTCTAGAACGTTTGTCCCTTTAGTGTTAAGCACAGGTTGCATGAAACATTCATGAGTATCTTGAAGAAGGTAGACCGTTGCGACATTCAAGGCTGTAATGCTGTGCCCTCGGTGGACCTTTTGTTGATATTTAGCAATATTCCATCAATCTTCTCCCTCATAAGCTGTTGCCTGGCACCTTTCTGGGAAATGTGCTCTTTGGGAGCAGAACTCAGAGCCAGTTTTTAGCTCCAAATCAATGGAGCAATCTGTTTCTTCAAATTTATCATCTACCCCAGGCACAAGATTGACTCTACTGGAAGTTTAAGATTATCAACAAGTTGCAACTGCTGAACAACTGTCTTAGGAACTTTCAGGGATACTGACAGCCAATGACTTAGAAGGGTTCTCAAGAGCCCAGCAGCAGTGTCTGGTACTACAGTCCATGTCCCTTGGGATGGCCTCAAGCACAGGCATGGAATGTTAAATAACATGCCACCAGATCCAGGAGCCTGTCTCGTTCCACTGGTGATGGCCTTTGAACCAAAGAGAACACCACTAAATGCGAGATGACCAGCCACATAATCATGAAGTTACCTTCGATTCTACACCAAAGCCTAACTTCTGCCATGAGCTGGCCCCACTAGTGATAGATACCAAGTGCAGTTGGGTAAACTTTGTGGTTCACCCCAACCCCCTCAGAAGTGTATTCCTTGCTTTGAAGATGATGCTCCCTTTCACTACACCTTTCACTTTAGAAAGTGGGAAAAAATCAGAAAGAAAATTAGCAAAGCAATCACGTGGCTAAATATAGGTTCCAAGAAATATCTTACCAATAATGTCTAGAGAGATGCTACAACTTCTGAGACACCCTGGTCTGTTGCTCAGAGAGGAGGGTTGTAATCCCTAATATATGGACAGCAGTGTTCCTTGGAAAAGTACCTGATCTATGTCACTCACATCGTCTTCCACTTGGATACCACCACCAGGTTAGGGTACATCACCAAATACATTTAGCCAGGTATCCCAGAATGTTAGTTTAAAAAAAAAATTACACACACACACACACACACACACACAGGATGCCAAAAAATGTACACACATTTTAAGAAAGGAAAAAACTATTAATTGTAATACTCAATATATACTGATAACAAAAGATGAATACGAGTCATGTTTGACTTCTGCAATTTTAAGAGGTGCTCAAAGTGGTTACCATCAGCGTCCAGGCACTTCTGATTACAGTGAATTACTGCTTGAGCATAGATAACATCTCTTAAAATGTATGTATGTATATATATATATATATAGTATATAGTATATAGTATATAGCATATAGCATATGTATGAGCTGTAGCTAATCATTAACAACTTTACTCACTAAGAATACATGAGACTTTGCTCTGGGGTTGGGTGATTCTCTGCCCTCACTCACACAGTGCCTGATTTGCTAGAATTGCTCTAGTGGTGAAATGTTCTTCATTCACAGAGTACCTGTCTTCTAAGGAGCTATACATAGGTGCTTCTGTTAAATTGCATTCTGTTCAAGCTCAAGCACTCCACCTGTTAATAGGTGGTCTATCCTCCACATTACATACTGAGAAGTTGAGTCATAAAGTGGTAAAACAAGTAGCACATGGGGACAGAGTTGAGACTCTAGGCTCTTGAGTCCTGATTACCTTTGCAATATCCCCAGCTTCTCTTCATATTTCCACCCCGTGCTCCCTTTTGATATACATTTTTAAAATAGTCCCTATTCTAACCCACCACCATAGAGAAGGTGTTCCAGCTTCAGACCAGTTCCTCTTCCCCTTCTGAGCATCACTGATACTTAGAAGACACTTGTGTCTCTACCTACAGAGAAGACTTTTTGTTGCACTTTATGTTCTTATGTTCTTCCATATCATAATTTATAATATGAAAACAAAGTTTTTTAATCTTCTAAAAATAAAGCTATATTATTGTACACAACCCTTAGTGCTTTTCATTTATATCCTCCTACCACCCCTACTGAGAATTATTGTGGTAAGCTAGATGGCTCTGTTATTGGCCTGTTTGTATAAATTTAATCAGGAAAAAATATTTGTGTTAGACTAAAAAGGAGAAACATAAAAATAATGTATTGACACTATTTAGACAGACAACTTATTAAAAATAAGGGGTGGGGGTGTGGGGACTTGACCAAAATCAGCTTCTCCCAAACTTCTTTTCTCAGTTTTAGTGCTCAAGGATTATGGTCAATTTACTCCTCTGATTCTGAAATCGTTATTTTATTTTAGCTTTTTCTGGGTTTCTAAAGCACACTGCTTTGTCAAATACAGCAATCGGAACTGGTCATGCCTTGGCCTTAGAGCTATTGTTGGGAAGTTGGTGTTTTGACAGCTAAAGCCAGTTGGCACAAGTCCATAGCGGACAGCCCAGATGTGGAGGCAAGATGCCTCAGCATCTTGATCAAGCCTTTCAATATTTCCCCACGTTTCAAAGCATCTCCTAAATCCCAGGAAAGTTACCTGACATAAAATGGAACATGGAAAGTTCATAAACACCTAAAAACTTCCAACTAGAGTGTGTGAAGAGAAACTGAAATTAGGGCTTAGTTTCAGTTTCACCTGTCTGATCTCAGCTTTATCTAAGCATTATAGACCTAAGTACAACTCTTCCCCCACCTTTATCACCCATGATAAGTTCAAGTACAGCTGGCATTCCCATTGACAAAAATGATGAGATCCTTAACTACAAATTGGTGGATGTTTTTTCACATTCTAATTTAAGATCCACCCATGTCTCTAGGATTTAATGCTGATATTATAATGATACCATTCGATTTATTTTATTTATTTAAAGCAAAATATGGTAATCACATTTTCTGGTGAATGATTTTAAACAGACTTGTTCATCAAAAGTGTACAACATATATTCTGCACATTATACATTCACGATGGAATCAAAATGAAAATTTAAGAACCTCTTACACTTGACCTTTTTTGATTGTGACAGTGATCTCCATGAAAGGGAAGGCTCAGTCACATAATTAAAGGGCAGTGAATGATTTTAAACGTCTATGCATATTACATAAGAAATAGGATGTGTGTAAATTACTAATGCACATATATGAACCAATACTTGTGGCTGCTTTACTCCAACTTTCCCCAGATTGATAGCATGCTGAGAACTCTATATACATCTCATGGCAGATGACTGTAAATTTTATTGGTCTCCTTGGATTTGTCTCTCACCATAAAATACAGTAGTTATAATGGAGGAAGAAAAAAGGGTGGACAATGCTAAAGGCTAATTGAAACCAACATTTTTGATCATTCAAATGGTCATCTTTAATGCTTAAAATTACTAAACCACAGATATTTCAATGACTATGGAGACCAGTACTTTTAAAGTTTCATGATATTCATAAACAATATACTAATATAATTAATGTAATATTATATACCAATTATATTTAAATAAATTTAAAAAATAGTGCACAACAACCAGACCAGAATACATTTTCAAATAGGTTTCTGAATGCAATTGTTCAATTATTTATTTTTACAAAGGGAAGTAAGGGAAGGGAAGAAATACAGCAGGGTATATTTTCATGAGATTGATCGTAATTTGCTAGGCTGGCTACTTATAGGAACTGCACATGGCAGGCTCAGTACATGTGAAAGTTACACAATGCTGGAGGGCTGAATAATCATTAAAAGACTGTATTCAGTCTCGAAAATTGAGTTTAAGTGCTTAACACGCACGAGTTTCCACCATCATGACCTTAATGCAAATTGAATTTAAAACATCACCATAACCTTTTTTTGCAACTTGGAGAGTTCTCTTCATAGCCTTCATTCAGATATGTACCAGCGTGCTCAGAAGGCTTCTGCTTGATCTGTTCCCCGAGCCAGGCTACCTAATTTGGCCCACCCTATTCACTTGGCTCTAAGAGAAGAAAATCTGCCAGCCCACAAATGGGCTTCCTAGAGAAAACCTCTATTGACTTCTACCCAGCAACCATCTATAGAAACAACCCCTTATATTGATCTTATAAATTATGGTAATACTACATTAGCATTTATTTCTCTGGATACATATTTAAACAGTAATTTATTTTAAGCTAGTGATTACCTGGTAATGCTGAATCAATCTGAAAACCGTATTTCTAGGACAGCTTCAGAAAATCTGGTGAGAGTTCCCCTTTGCACAGTGAGCATTTCTCACAGCCTCAGGCTCATGAACGGTTACCTGAGATTTTGGGAAAAGAAGAGAGACACAAATCACATGGGGAGAGTCAGGACTGCACTGACTTCAACTGGTTTACATGTCAGGGGAAGGCACGTAGTAAGTGGACACTAAAATGATTGAGGTGGGGTTGATCTGGACCAGAGAGATAAATAGATAAGCCTTCAAACACACAATTAATTTAACCTCCAGGTTTTTTTTCAAACTTAGGAATCTTAACTTTCCTAAGAAATTTGGAAATAGCTGAATAACTGATCTCACCCGTTATGTACTGGGAGATTATTTAGGGGAGATTATCAGTAGGTTGATTTTTTTTTAAATCAGAGTCTGAGATAATTCGTTTTTAAATGCCAGGCTTTGTATAATTTCAGGAAATGTTCTCTCTAAGTAACAATTCAGCAGTTAACTCAAAACAGACTAACTCTGGATGGAATACACATGATTTCTCACAAGATTTGAAATAGCCAAACGGTACTTTTCTTTAAAGGGCCATGTTTCACTGCACCTTTTCTACATGGATGTATGCTTACAGATCTCATCATCTTCTATATTTAGAGAGATGAGCTTTCCAAAGGAAGATAAGCAGCCAATGAGGAGGATCCCATCAAAAGGGGTGAGTTACTATGGTTACTTTTCAGGAGGTTGAGTAACAGTGAATGGCTGTTCCTAGCCAAATGGACCCTTTCCAGAGCAGGACCTAAAAAGATTGTTGCTCTCCATACGTGTTGATTCAATTAGTCCAGACTGCACTATGCCATTTTAGCCGTAACCGTAAGCTTTCTATGGGCGCTTGCTGCTTCCAGCTCTCCTTAGCTCACATAGGCAGCGAAGTCAAAGGGAAAACATGGACTGAAAAGTTCCGAGGACAAACCTACCAATGACGGGCAAGGAAATCCTCAAGAAACAATTCCAAGATTTTTGCGGGGCCACCCGCTGGCAGGTTTTCAATGGCTGGGGGCGGGGTGGGATCCCGTAACAGTCCCTACCCTCACCGTCAATGTCAGGAATCATTTCTAAGCCTCCGAGGAGGGCACCTGGCTGGAGGAGTCCAAACCTACCTTGCGAGCTGGGTCCACTCGCCAGGAGATGGGCGCATGCACTTGTTTCGTAAAAGGCACGGGGTTCGGTTCTCCCTCCTGCTTTTTCAGTGCTGTCACTCTCCAGACGGGCGCTGACAGCGACAGCGGCGGTGGCGCGACAGCGGCAGCGGCGGCAACTGCAGCTCGCAGGCAGCCTGGCTCCTGCAGGTCCTTCCCTCCAGTCTCTGAAGTGCCTCTCGCTCCGGGTTCGGAACGTGAGGCGGGCGCGCAGCTGTTCTCGGCTCGCATTGGACCAGAGGGAGCAGATGTTACCCGGTTGCTAGGAGCGTTGCTAGGAGGCGATGACGCCCCCCCAACAGCTCGGGAGCAACTTTACTGTAGGTCAGGTACACTGGCAGGGGCTGCTAGGAGCAAGGTTTGAGAACAGCAATGAGGAAGGGCAGCGATCAGAGTCCCAAACAGGGAGAGTCCTGTGCTCACCTAGGCTGGGTCCCGGAAAGCCGGCAGGAGACCCTGCAGGTAGGTTAGCACCCCAGCTCTCCGCACCAGGTTTCTTTTGGCCAACTCCCGCGGGCCAGGGCAGTGATGGGGGCTAAGCCTCCAGGGGCACGGTCACTAGCTGCAGGTCCCAGCTGGCTGTTTCCTGTGGGGGTCGGGTTTGGGGACCAGAGTGGAGCAGCACTTACAGCGTGACTCCGTCAGTGCTTCCTAGACACCCAGACTTCCACAGGGAAACTGTTTGCCTGGGGCAGGACCCTGGCGAGGGGGAGGGATAGAAGGTTGTGCCTGTGACCCAAGGTGAGGCGTATGGGATGAAGGGCGTAAGATCTTCTGCCTTCTGGGATTCTCCTCCCGGGAAAGTTCCTGCTTGTGTCTGCAGGTTTGAGCAGTTGATAGATTTTGAGGAGGGAAATACTAACTAATCCATGAAAATCAAACCAGAGTCTAATTCCTTTTAATGGTGTCTGTGGCTGACTACTGGTACAATGCCAAAGATATCAGGGGGGGAAATATGTCCCTTGGGGGTCTGAAATATTTCCATTATAGTTAGAAAGTCTTCATTTTGATCTAATGACTAATTAAAGCCTTAGGCTAATATGCAAACGCCTTTAAAATAAAAATACACAAAAGGAAAGGTATTTGTCACAAAGGAGGCTGGAGAAGTAATTTACTCTTTAGTATAAATTCACCCAAAAGATTATATCATCTCTGGTATCTTATTCAAGGTCTATTTTGATTTTTTTTACCATTTTGTTGTTGTTCACTGGACTTGTTATTCCTATGCAGGGAGTAAAATAAGAACATCAAAGTGGGCAAATTTGGGCAGCCAGTGAGTCAAATTAAGGACAGGAAAAGGACAAACCTAGCAGAGAAATTTTGCCCAAAGCTATCCTCAGAGGGGTAGTCTCATTGAAGAAGGAGAAAGACCACTTCCCTGCTTCCCTGTAGGGTCAGGCCAGGGCCTGGGAGGAAGAGAGCACAGCTGGGAAACAATTAAAATAAAAAGTTGCTGTCTTTGGAGCCAGGACAGGGCTTCTGTGCAGTGTCACCTTGACTCCTGCATTGGTAGACATTCTGCAAGGCTGAAAGGGCTACACAAAGTTACTCTATAAATCTTAGGGTTCCCGTTCCCTCAGGCACCCAAGACCAACTTAATACTTAGGACAAAACTTAAGAGTTAACAATGTGTTAGCCCTAAGACTCTCCACATTGCTTTTCAAGGTCCAGTCACTGTGGACTTTATTCCTTGAATGGGAAAGGTTCTCATTTGTCTCAGTTATTTTGTATATGCTGTTTCTTCTTCCTGAATGTGCCTCCTTTTCACCTGGCTTACTCCTACTCAGCCTCTAAGTCGCAGCTTAAATACCACTTCCTCATAGTGCCTTTTCCCCTCCCATTGGCTAGATTTGCCTTCTACTTACATTCCCCAATCATCCTTCTGATCCCACTTCACAACATTCATCACACCAGGTTTTAAGCTCATGCCACCTTGTGGAACACTCTGTCCCCAGCACCCAGCTCACAGCGCCGGGTACATCAAAGGTAACCAAGAGCACTTGGGAATGGATGGAGCCACCCTGCCTGCCCCATGTACCTGTTTATACCTTAGCCTTGCAGCTATCAGTTAGCGAGCTTATACAAGCCACGACGGCAGCCACTAGTTGCTGTGCTTTTAGTTCATCAAGTAGAGGGAAAAGCCTATAATACAGAAAATTGTTTTCTACTCTTAATGAGACATTGTGTTGATACAACGATGTCTTTTCCGTCTCAAGGCATCTTATAAAGGTCGCTGCCTGGATTTTAATGACATTGGAAAATGACCTGAAAGTTCTTTCTATATCTTCCTAATTCTCTTCTGTGTCCTCCAAAGTAGATGTGAGTCCTCTGAGCTGACTGTCTCATCTTTCCTTAAAATACCCTCTACCTCAAGTGACAAGCAGCCTCCATCATCACATGCTACACATCCATGGAGGGAAAAAAAAATGGGAGGGGGGGCAGCTAGTGAACTTGACCAACATGGGGAGCACATCTACTTTATCAGAATAGACCAGGATATATTCTTCTCTGTAGGTGATATAACTCACCAAACAATTGTCAAATCTGCTCTTGATCTGGGACCACCTCAAGAAAAATAACAGTTGTTGGAAGACATGAAGGAAAGGTCAGGATAGTCTCAAGATCACAGAGTTGCTTGGTGGCAAAGCCGAAAATAGAACACAGGTATAAGAGTTTAACCTTTACTGGACTATTTTATATCTGAAGATTTAATTTTATAAATTTTTCAATTCTCCTGGCAAGTGATTAGAATCTTTCACTAAAAAATTTTGGATTTTAAAATCAAATATTAAAATGCCATACATGCCACCTCAGACTTCATCTAAATTCTAATCTTCTCATCATTGAATTTTGTCCCTTCTCGAGACAACCACAGACATAATGTTAATCCTTCCCCTATACCTTATCTGCTTGCTGAAAAGAATATGATGTTTTATTATGTAGCAGAATACATGTTAAAATTCATCAGCACTCCAAATTGTCAGCCTATCTTCCTCTTGAGCCACGTCTCTCAATTTCCCTGGAGAAACCCTAGGGAAACTGTAGAGAGAGACTGAAGTTTACAAGACATACAATGTGACTTGATTCATCAATAAAATGTTACCCGGGGTAGTTACGTTTTAAAAAAAAAATCACTACTAATTTTTCAAGAACCTGAGTCATAGATGACTGTGTCAATTATTTGAATATTTAAGGATGGGTAAGTCTTTGTTGAAGGAATGTCAGAAGGTAGCAATCATTTGTCAAGTTTTAGGTTCTGTTTTAGGTTCTGTAGATGATTTACTCTAATATTAATATGCTGAAAAATCTCTTTCCTCTGCAATATTCTGCTTTTGCTCATAATTTTACAATATTTGCTTTGGTGGTTTTAAAATGTCACATATGTATGTATTTACTAGTGCACCCTACACATGTAGAAAAATGTTCAACCTTGCTTAGGTTATCAGTCCAGAAATGTGAAGTCAAATGAAGTCAACAGCACCCCCCTCCACTAGTGCTGAAACACTCTTAAGATGACTAGGGTGAACTAGTAGAATGCTTAACAGCCTTTTATGAGTATGTTCTGGAGCTACCATGGGTTAGGAAGAACTGAAGCAACAATATGCCTGCAGTTAGCAAGTTCTCCTTAAATAATCACCACTACCACAGCATTTGGAATATTTTTTTTTAGAAAAAGAAAAATATATTTCTGGTAGATACTGGCTAGAATAGTCTCACCAAACTGATTCATTTTCCTGTACACACAAAACACAATTCCCAGCCTTCTTAAATATAGGTGGAGCATGTGACTCGTTCTGGCCGATGGAGTTTAGACAGCAGTGGAGATTGCCAACTCTAAGCCTGGCCCCTTAAGTGTACATTTGATTCTCCTACCTTTTCTTCCTCCTCCATTTTCAGGGCAAAATATTTCTTCAGAGTCCTTAAGGACTCTGAGGTAGCCCTCAATCCCCAAGATGCTGCTAAGAAACAAGTGGCATGGACAAATATCTTAGATTAGCTGGAAACAAAGCTTTCTTATGCTAACTCGCTGACATTTAGAGTTGGTTATTATAATAGCTAGCATCAATTAACTCAACTAATAGTGTACAAAAATGGTAAAAAAAATATATCCCCTGAAACATCTATAAAATTTAATTTTCTGGGCCGGCCAGGTGGCACGATGGTTGAGAACTGACTTGGGACGCCGGAGGGCCCCGGTTCGGATACCACATGTGAGGGCCAGTGACACTGCCCTCTACAAAAAAAAAAAAATTAATTTTCTACTTTCTTTTTTCGTTTTGGGGCATCAGCCATGCTTTTACAACTATAGGTGGTGTCTGATCATAATTGCCTGCTCTTTCTACTTCTGGCTTGCTTCATCTGACCCTCAGTCTCGTAAACTTACTAAAACTGGGTATACATAGAGGGGACAGGACTCTAGACAATAGCCTCTCTGATGAGCCATTACCTACACATTTGTACAAGAATACCTACGTTTTGCCTTCTCAGAAATCTCTTCAGGTGCAATTTAGTTATTTCAGCTGATCTTTACATTAATATAGCTCCTTGCTTACACAATATTCCTAATTTAAATTCAGCACTTTAAACTAGCATCTGAATTGATATACATTGATTTGTATACATGTTCAATATTAAGCCTATAGCACCCTAAAACCAAAATAAATTACATGGATCATAAATGTAATGCTTGTAGTTCTAATATATATGTCTGCAGTTGGTATGGTTTTGGAGTTAATGGTTTTTATATATACTAAAATAAGCAATATCAGTCAGGCCCATAAAATTTGCATGTTGATGCTGCAAAACCATATCTTTTTTTAACATAAAAAATTTTCACACGTATACATATAAGCCATCTGCTTAAACTTTATTGATAAAACCAGTAGCAGCAGTTTTACAAAATTGGAAATGATTTTTTCAGTTTTGAACTATCATGAGTTCAGTTGCAGCAGACATTTTGTACAAACTGGGGCTAATGCTTCTTCTATGTTTCTGTTTTAAACAAAAAGCAATTAGAATTTATCCTCATGCATTTAAATATCTAATACAGAAATAGTTTTTAGGCTGCATAAAATATGTTTCCAACATCACTGTGAAACTGAACATCTGCCTTAAGCATTATTTGTATAAGAAAAACAGTATAACTCTTCT